AGAAAATTATATTTGTCTTTCTTAGCAGTTGCAAAGTAAAATAGAAACTTGAATTAAAGAAACGAAAAGAAATAAAATTAAAATGAAATATTTATAAAGGAAAGTTTTAAGTGAATATTTTGTGTGGTGAGTTTAAAGCAATGCCAGCCGCAGATTATGAGTTTTGGCCACAGAAATGTTGCGTTTACATACACACGCACATTAAACACATACATATGTACATATGTATATAAAATATTTGCGTAAGCATGTTAGTGCATTTTTGTTTGCTCTCAAGCGCTAACATATGTTTGTTTGTTTGTATGTTTATATGCATAGCCGCCCCCTTGAAACTCTGAAGGTGGTAAAACTCATTAGCGTTGAAGTGCACCACTGAAGTAGGTGGCTGCAAGCGGCGCTTGAGTGCTGTCGAAAAAATGGCTTGATCTCACACGTTTGGTAGGTAAGCGCATTATAGTTTTGCTGCCTGTTTTTGTTTTACTCTTAAAAGGCTTAAATATGCAAAATAAGCTAGCGCAAACCACAAAAAGGCCAAGCGTTTTAAGAGATTAAGCACGAAAAACGAAAGTTTGAGTTATAGAGATAAATACTTTTTTCTAGCGTCAGTTTGCGTATTTTCCAGTCCAGCTGAGCAAAAAGAGTTATTTTTTTTAAGGAAAATAATTCATTTGTGCTTGATCGTCCTTCGATATAATTTTGTAAGATTAATGCTAAGGCTTATTCATATTTGCGCCCAAAAATTTTTAACCGACTTCAAAAAAAGAAGGAAGGTTATAAAGCTTAAGAGACTTCATCATAATTTAAGCTAATGAAATATATCGTTTTTTTTATGTAAACAAATTTCTGAAATATATGCCAACTTAAAAGCTAAAAGAATCGCTGAAAGTGTCAGTAATTCTAAATTATTTTTTGAAGTGAAAAATCTCAAGTGATTGGAACTTGACCAATTGCATTCATTTAGTCGAGTCGAAATATGAATAAATATCAAAAGATTGTAGATGTTGCTTACCATTTTTTATATCGATTTGAAGTTGAAGATTTATAGTTCAAAAGCCTTAATTTTTCAACTGATTTATTATTTTTTTTTAATGAAACCGATTTGTTTTGTTTATATACAATTTTTTAGTGCAAAAAACATTAACAACTTTGAAGAAACTCGATTTTCCTGTACCTGTTAATAAATGCTACATAAGAAAAATTAGTTAAAAACAATTATAGGCATCCGCTAAAACGAAAAAATGTGTCCGCCATCTTAGATCCGCCAGTTTAAATTCTAAGAATTCATGGTCGGATTGATAATCATCGACCCCGAAAACCACCCAGTAACAGTTTCGAGCGAATTCAATCAATTTTTAAAAACTTCTCGACCATATTGGTTTTCAAAAAACGCTAGCCATCATATAAAAGTAAAATTTTTCATCGAATTTTCCAGAACATAACCGATTTCTGTAACCTAACCCAATTTTCGAGAAAGGGGTCTTCAGTTGACAAAGAATGCCTCATAAAGATAAATGTAAACATAAGATAACGCTAATCTAAAGGTGTTATAGATAAAGAAAAGGGAAATGATAAAGATAAAGATTAAAAAAAGGATAAAGATAGAGGTACAGTTAAAGATAAATATAACGTTAAAAAGATAAAGATAAATATAAATTTAATCGAAAAGATGGAATGAAGAAAAAGGATAGAGATAAAGATAAATATTTATATATAAAGATAAAGATAAAGATAAAGATAAAGATAAAGATAAAGATAAAGATAAAGATAAAGATAAAGATAAAGATAAAGATAAAGATAAAGATAAAGATAAAAACCAATAAAAATAAAATTAAAAATAAAAATAAAAATGAAGATAAAAGAAAATCAATCAAAGATAAATAAATTCACACAAATTAGCTCAGGAAAAATCGAATAATGTCCGCGACAACAAACTGCTACAATTATAAAATATTTCAATGTTTTTCTTTTTATTCTTGAATTTTACATGAGAAAATTAAAAAGTATTCGCTGTCAACGTGTTCAATGTAGCAAAAAGAAAAGCCTTAAATGCTTGATTACTGCTTGGAGACTTCTGAGACATATTTTACTTGTTATTTTTTTATGGGTTTACTACATTTTTCTAAAAGTTATTTCGTGCATGCTCCATACAGCATGGTTTTGTCTCTCAGATGCTTAGCAGCGTGCTTGAAGACTTACACAAGTCTATTCACATACTTATGTACATATGTATTGAAAAACACTTAATTTCTACTACAGAATACTCCATAGTTTGCATGTTTCCATGTACTATGAAGTCTTTAGTTCATTTCCACCAAGTCTAAACTGCAGTTGATGCCTATTGGAAAAATTTGATTACATCTCTAAATTTATAATAATCATTTTAGGACGTATGAATATAAACTTAGCAATTGCCTAAAATGTGAGACCTTTTACTTAAGAAAGAGAAATTGCCTAATTGTAATTAAATTTTTTGACAACTCTCAAACATTTTTCTATGAGTATTGGAGTAGTTTTTTTTTCAAACCTAATATAAGCTTAAGTCGGTTAAAATTTAAATTATGCTTCTTTCATTTTAGAGGCACCCCTCCTATAACTTCAATTGCACTTGCCGTGGCTTTTTCTGAAGCCTTCAAAGTAACATTTTAGCGATGTCACTGCTAAAATTAAATTTCCAACAAAATTTAGAAAGCATGCTTGAAGGCCGGACATTTTTTTACTTGAAATATATGGCTTTACAAGGCTTCTTTTTCATTCAAAACCACATCTTTTGAGACTAAAGCTTTAAAAATCAGGCTTGATCAGATGCTTGAAGAATCCGATATTGCTTTTGACACTACTAAGACGCTTAAAATATGCGGTAATTCTAACCCATGAACACCTTTCCTTTACAATAACTTATTTTTCTACTTACGTTAAGGTGTTGGATTGTGTGCATTTCGCAGTTTTTTGTCACTCAATCTTTCTGGCTTTTCGCGATGCAATTTGTGTGAAACAGCTGGCGACAGCTGGTGACTATATCTACTATACATATATGTATGTACTTAAAAAAAAAAATAACTGACTATTACAGAGATTAGGTGGCTTGCTTGTCGCGCCAGCTAGCATGACCTCCGTGAATATATGCCATCTACTTAAAATATTCGCATATAGCTGTGTATTTGTGTGGGCTACTCGATTATATATGGAGCCTGATTTGAGTTCACAGCTCTTTCACCTTCCGCCTGTGAACCGCTCACTGTCACTTTACTCAGCAACCCGATGAAGATGAATCCTTTCCAGATGACAAATGCACTACATCACCACCCACTATTATGTGCCATGCTAGGTCACCTACCCTACAAGACATTGCTGAGCACTTTAGGCAAAAATTCTCACACATTTACACTTTTGTTTTTGTAGTACGGCATAAATGAGTAGTTTGACTATTAGTACTGAGGACTTTCTGATGACAACATTGAGGGGAAAGTACTCAATTTTTTCCCATGGCCTGAACGAAAATGAGGACTTTGATAAGCACTTTTGTGATTAGGGATAATGATAATATGAGTACTCATATGATACTCAGCTGTCTTGTAGGGTATATATACACACACACAGATAAACATGCAAGCATACGGTCGTAACTGCAATAGCAAACAATTGCACAGTATATGGTGTCTACACATGTGTGAGTAGTGATTGCAATCATTGCAGCTTGGCTGTCAGATGCGTGGCAGCTGTACATTAAAAGCGGCTCCACCATTTCACCATGTGAGGCGAGGTTGTCGTTTTATTTTTTGTGTTTTTTTTTAGTCCTCTATTCCTTTAGCGCAATTCTTTCTACGCCTGCACACGGCAATTGGGTCAAGTGTGGCATAGCGTCCAAGTAAACACATGCCATTGCTTACACACACACTCTGGCTCACTGATGGGCGGACGGCCACAGGAGAGCGGCAGACGTGCTTTGGCTCACAGGACACTTCACTTTTAAGTGTTGAAAACATTAGGATATTAAGATGAGAAAATATTTTCCCGTTTCTTTTTGTCTCGGATGGGCGTTGCGGTGCATTCGAGGCATACTTTTAGGCGTATAACATTCTGCTGATACATATGTACATATGCTCTTACGGCTGCTTTTATACATTTATTTCTGCAGCCTTTTACTTCTTTATAAAAATTAATTATTTCCCTTTTCTCTATCTTTTCAGGTAAGTTTCAGCCAAACAATTTCGTAACAGCCACCACGAGTGGTGCTAGTAAGTACAGAAAATCCTACTACACATACAAAATTAATAACTAATTTAAGGAAAACTTATATTCTTTAAAGCAGAGCCTGTAGCGTGTATTCAGTTTTTATAAAAAATAATGCAAAACAGTTTAGTGACATAGTGACTTTTAAAATTTCGAGTAAGAAAAGAGGAACGGTTTTGCCTTTGACTTTTTAGGCATTTATAAGAAGCAAATTTAAGATTTAAGTGTACCTTTAAACCAGAAATTCCTGATAAGTCACGGCAAATTCCGAAATGCCCTGAAAGTGTTTCGAATGATCCAAACAAACTCAACGCGAAAATTTCCGTAGAAAATACCGAAAACTACCGAAAAAACCTACATAGTCGCGAAAAAATTTGAGAAAATTTGTGAAGTCAAAAAAAAAAAACAATAACGAATCCCCGCTTCAGATAATTCTTTTTTGCTGGAAAGCTGCGACCTCAATGGTGTTCCCAAGCTAATACGGTTTTAGTTTGCTTCACTTATTGACTTAAGAAATAAACAAATATATAAAATTGCCGAAATTTTTTTTTTTTAAATCGTGAGAAAATCATGTTCTTGATGTCGCTAGCAAGTTAATGGGATATCTTTGAAAAAGCGGTCTGTAAATTTTTTTAACATACTTGTATTTTTTGGTTTCAAAATCTGTATATATTTTATCTACAGTCTCTGATTTAATGAAAACATATAAAAGGAACAATTTAAATTTAGGGCATTTAATCAATCAGAAATTTTATATGTACAAAATACTGTATGTTTACTTAAATGTTCTTTAATGCTTGCTCTTTATATTTGCCTGTGCATGAAACCCAATAATATTGCATCCATAAGCGTTATTTTATTCTTTCTTAAAAACATGAATCAAGACTGACTTTATAGGCCCCAAAAAGTGAAATTAGTCAACGTGCGATAAACCCATTTGCTTCCCAGAGAACGAAAATACATATCGTCACTAGACACGAATAAAGGCGCGCTAGTGTTTTGACGGCGAAAAAAGACGCATAAAAAAACTTCAGCGTCAAAGACTCTTAACATACATCGCCGAAGTTTTTCATAAGCATCTTTTTTTGCAACTTTTTTACGCGCTTTTTTCGCCGTCAAAACACTAGCGCGCCTTTATTCGTGTGTAGTGACGATATGTATTTGATTTATTTAATTCAATATAAAAACATGAATAACTTGCTTTTTTTATTTGTTTTTTGTCCTGAGTGAAATTTTTTCAAAACCATCACCAAAAAGGTACTTAATACAAATAATATTTTATTTTAAAAATTTGCACCACTTACAATTAAAATTTGGTTTGTTTTCGATATGTCGCAAAAAGCTTTTTAAATTCGAATTAACATGAAATTATCTGAAACTAGTACTTAAAATAAAGTAAGAGTTTATTTTTACTCTTTCTTCTATATAATTTCTTTACAAATATTTTATTTGATTTTTATTTTTATATTTATTTTTTTAATTATAATCCAAATGTTACCAAAATACAATTTTAGTTGAATAAATAATTTTACAGAATTTTTATTTAAATTAATGTTTTTATTTTAAAAGTTTTTAAGAAAAATTTAAGGGTTTTTAATAGGTTTTTAATTTTCAGAGAAATTTTTTACAGATATTTTATTTAACTTTTAATTAATCGCAATTTTAGTTAAATGAAAAATTGTAAAAACTTTTTTCTATTTTTTTTTTTTTGAATTTGTTAATTACTTAGTATTTTGTTTTCATTACCTTCAAAGCTATTTAAATTCAAATTAATTTCTACTAAATAAAATTATACACATACATACATATGTAAGTATTTCGGAAACAAAAAAAGATATAGCAAATTAAAGTTTTTGAATTTGTCCTTAATTTTCATACAAACTTTTCTTTAATTCAAATGGAACTAAAAAAATAATTAGACAAACTAATTTTAGGTATATAAAAAAAAAATTATATAAAATTTTTCATTTTTGTAAAGTATCTATGAATTAGGAAAAGCCAGAAAAAATATATTTCAATTGAAAAGCAAAATAAAATTACTTACAAAAATAAATATAAAATAAAAAATTATAATAAACTAAAATCTTAAAAAACAAATCTTATTCTAATAAAAAAATTTGGCACCATTTTTCTAGTTTTAATTGGTGCAATGTATAGGAATATTTTTTCTTATTTTATTATTATTTTATACTACAATCACTGAGAGAAATTTTTTGTAAAATGAGAAAATTTGTGAATGAAATAAAAATTAAATATAAAAAATAAAATGCTCTGAAAATTTTTTGATTTTATGTTCCGGAAATTTTCTATAAATAGGCTTGCAAATAACTTCTTTTTTCCACAACTGAACGAGATAAAATAAATTTCAGAAAAAATAGTAAATTCTAAAAAAATTAAAATATTTTTATTTTATTTCTTAAAATTTATTTGCTTTATATGAATTTTTTCCTTTCTTGCAATAGAGCAAAAAATAAAATAAAAAAATTACTTGTAGATGTAAAAAAAATTAAATTGCAGTTTTACCAAAAAAAAAAAAAAATATTGAAACAATTATGCAAGCTCATTTAAAAATTCAATTTGTTGTAGACTTTGCTACAATTCAATACTTATAAATACATATATAATGTGAATTTATTAAATTTCTTTCAAGCGTTAATCCTAAAAAATATTTGGTATACTTATGTCGTCACCTTAATATAGAAAGGTCCCAACTCATTTTCTTTCGGGACTCGGCGTTGTACAAAAGTTGACTTTCAGTTCTATTAAAACCCAGTGTTTTGAAGATAATTTCAATTCAATAACTTTAGTTTTTATAAAGGAACAAAAATATTAAATAGGTTCTTTCCATATTAAGGTAACGATGTGCATGTAGTGAAATTCCTGCACGGAAATCTTCGCATTTAATGTTGATGCCTAACTTTTCCATTCCTTCTTTAACTCAAGAAATTTTCGTGACTTCTCCCCCTCAAATTTTTTTCATTAAATAAATAACACATTTAGCCGGAAGCAAGCACAAAAGCCATTATTCGTGTTTTTCTATTTAACCTTCGCTCTTTGTTGGCAATTTCACAAAGCTCATTTGGATTGACCCATTTCATTACATATTTCCATCCGGTCAGTACTAATCCAGTATATCGTATCCCTAAACCAAAAAAAAAAAAAAATATTAAATAAAAACATAAAATCAGGCAGCTGCTCACATATGTACGTATGTATAAAGTATACCGACGCATGCCAATTCTCATGAACCTTACTTTACTGTCGCCATAAAGCAGCACATCTGCGCTTTCTTGTTAGTTGGTTTCGTTGGAACCACTATGTGTATGAATGGCAAGCTCAGAAAATTACTCTCGAAGGGGCGGATAGTCAATATTTTGCCACTGGCAGTAGACTATCACTGCCAGGTGGGGGAGGCTTGCAGCAGCTGAAAATTAATGTCAGGCTAGAGATGGACAGAAAGATAGATGCACTTGAATATGCAAAGTGGCACACTAAACAAGCCACGCAAGAAACTGCTGCACACCCACACACACACACATCCACAAACAGAAACTTAATCCTGATGCATTTTACTTCTCCCCTCTGGCTCTGAGCTTAGTAGCATCGCGATAATCCATTTTAAACATTTCACTTGTGTTTCTGCGCCCTATTGTTGCTGGTGTTGTTGTTTTAGTTGCTGTAGGCAATCGAATTATTCATAGCTATTTACCCACTTGTGTCACTGAGACCATCACCCCTTAACTACTCTTTTCCATGATTACCTCTGCTCTCCTTTGCTGCTGTCAATGCATTCCTTCGCCTCCATATTCTCAATTTTGCAAATTTCCACATTACTGCACTTTGCGCATTCAACAACCAGCCTTCAAATCATTTCTCTCTCCCTTCATTCTTGCTTCAGGCATCTCCTCTCCGTATCCCTGTTGCTGTCTCTTTCTCTCTCTCTCGTTCTCTCCTTGACTAACTGTTTTATCTCGTCATTGCCATCAACATTTCAATTTCCCAACTGGATTTGCCAAGGGACAATTTTTCGTAAATTTCGTCGTTTTCACTATTCACTCAAGCTATCACATAGTCTGCTTCCAGGCTGTTACGGCATGATGACTGCAGGTCGGCACTCGCTTATGGTTCAGGAGCAGAAGCGCATGCACTATTGATTTAAATGCTTCAAGTGTACATTACAAAATATTTATCTGCATTAGCATATCGCACACCGTCTTCAAAAGAGTCATAACTCAAAATAATAAGTTCGTCAGAAAATGCGAAAAACTATATCGTAGCACATGCTAATCATATGGGCAAGGGCGACTTTACCTTAGGTTTTTTTTAACAAATTATAACAAAAATTTGCTCCAGCTTTTGCTGAAAGGTAAATAAAAGCTCTGTGTACATTTTTAGCGTATAATTTCAAAAATGCCAAATTTTGAGTTGTGACTCTTTTGATGACGGTGTGCGATATCAGTATATCGCTTACTCGAAAGGCTGTGCCGCTTGCTGCACTTTTACTCTCCGCTCTTCGCCCGCTTTTGTGCTGCGTCGCTTCGTGTATATTTATTACGTTTGTGAGTGCTTTTTGCTATATTAAAATATTATTAGTCGCTTTTGCAATGACTAAGTACATATTTATCGTAACCTTCATCATTGCTAAGCGTACAGATTTAATTTCCTATTTTTCTCCGAAATCGGAAACGACATTTTGTGAAATTATTTTAGCGCTTAATTTTAGTTAAGTTTTTTGTATTTAATTTTTTGTTATGCTATGAGTATTAAGGACTAGTTATGGAGTTTAAATTAAACTAAGCACAGCTATTTTCGAAAATTATTGCAGCCCGAAAGAGATTTTTGAGGGCCAATGGTATTTATGCCAACTAAATTATGCTATGAAAAATGTAGCCTACTTTTTCGGACGCTGATTCTTTTTAAAGGCCATTAAAGATAGCAGAGTATGTATAAAGAAATTTTAACTGACAAATTAAGGAGAATGTTCATAAAGTGACTTGAATGTGCT